CTCCAACCAGTGCCAGATTATTGAACGCTCCTGCAAGAAAATTCTCCAGCCTCGTTACCCACCTTGCCATCACAGATCCTGAACCCTGCCTCATCCTCTGACCTTCCTCCTCGTCATGCCCTCCTTGGAATATTCTGCCTCATCCCCGACCTTGTCTTTGGATCTTCCTGATTGGCATTCTGCATCTCTGCTCCTCTGATAATGATACTGCTTTGCCCTCGCCCTCGACCTTGTTTTTGGATTTCCCTGTCTGCACCTCTGCCCCTCTGATCTTTTGGCTTCATCCCTGCTTCATCCCCGACCTTATTTATTGGATTCCCCCATCGGACATTCCTCACCTCGCATCTCCTGGTAACGACTGCTTGTCTCCAGACCAAGTCTCTGCCCCCTCCAATCATCATCTTTCCCCTTTTAATTCATTTTCTTAAAACGTGTCATTCTGTGTTGGGTGTTTCTTAGGGGTACGCCAGTTAAGCTCGTGACAGAATAATTTGGCACTGGTTGGAGAGCAGGCTGGGAGTTAAATAGCACAGGGAGCAGGTGTGTGGGATGAGCTGAAGACAGGAACAGCAGAGATGAATGAAGTTGATGAGGTGACTGATTCCTGGAGCGAGGCGTGGAATGAGGAGGAGACGTGGCTTGGAAAAGGTACCCTGGTGGTTTATGGCTGAGGTCTGGAGATGAGTAGATGACCTAGAGCGAGATCCAGAGAGGGAGAAAGGTGAATATAGTCAGAGGGTCAAGTCAAGCTGGAGATCTGAAATAAGTTGGGGACAAGTTAGTTCTTTAAAAGGCTTTCTGAATACTGAAACTGAGCAATCATCCAGCAAGTGTGAGTTCTTCTTTTTCTTCTTCTTCTTCATTGAAAACAGGCAGGCTAGATGCACTTAAGGTGTATTACTGCCACACTAGCCAACACACCGAGCCAGCACAACCCACTGCACACAACAGGCATGCAAACCTTCCCACCCCGTGTTCCCACAGATCTACCATCAACAAAAACCCACTGCCCGCTCACACCCCAGTGAAAACACACAACCCCACATGGAGGCTCACCCCATACTCACACTCCCACCCCTACCATTAACACCCACCACCAGGGGCATCCCACAATCCACAGCAAACTCAGAACCCCCAACACCCCGCAAACACATTGCCTCCAAACCTCCTTGGGGGACACGTCAGAAAAACCCAGCAAGGCCCCTGCCACAGCTGTCACCTCACGAGCCACTTCGGACTTGTTGGACGCTCCATTCTTCACCCTCCACATGGCCTCAACTAGAAACGCCAAAAACTTCCTCTTATCCCTCCCAACAACCACACCTGCCCCCACATCCCCACCACCAGTTTACAAAGGTGCATGACAAGGCCCGGACGCACCACTATTCTGCACCCCCATACAACACCTTATGCTCAGCCTGAACCTTCCCCACCTCCACCGCCACCCTTTACGCCACACCGCCCCAATAAGCCGCTTGATGGTTCCCACCACAGTTACAACAACAGAGCGGTAGATCACAACTCTTGCCGTCATGGTCACCCCTGCACCTCCGACAACGCACCTCAACCACACAGGCACTGGCCACATGACCATGTCCCTTACACCTAAAACACCTCAGAGGAGGTTCCTCGTACGCCCTCACCGTGAAACTTAGGAAGCCCAACTGGACACGAGCAGGGAACTCCACCACGTCGAAAGTAATCAGCAGCGGACTGGACCCACATGCGTTAAACCCCAGATGCCGAACAGCCACCACTGCCACCCCACTCAGGGAAACAAACACCTCCGACTCAGAGACCCCGTTGTAAATGTCGTACAACATACCCTTAATCATAAAACCAGACCTCAACTCGGAAACCACCACGTCCACCCCCAGAAACTTCTAAAGCGGCAGTGCTTTGTGGCACTGAGACTTATTCCGGCACACCACCACCAACAGCCCACTGAACACCATGGTAGCATCTAGCACATCCCCTACCACGGCACTTAGCTCCCGGGACACCGCCAATGGGTTAGAGGTAGCAAAACGCGCACTTCCTACCGCCCTGATGCGCATCACAAAGCCACCCTGCTCCAGCCTCTGTTGCTTCAGCTGCACATCCCAGTTACCATCTGTTGCATCACTGCCGCTCCCACGGTCCCTCTTTGCCGCCCCCACCGACTGAACCGGCGCTCCAGCCCTACTTGTCCCCTTCCCCCCCATTGTCCGCAACAATCGAGGCTACTCCAGGCTGCTGTCTTGCCAGGCCTGTATAGGCCGTTGTCCAACCACCCGAACAACCCTCGAAGTCAGCCCAAACCTCAGCCTGCTGTACTGCTCCTTCTCCTCCACCGGCAGCTGTCCACTCGCCTGTCCTCACCCCAGCTGACGGCTCCTTGTGTCACCTCCCTCCACCAAGTTGTTGAGAAGTTGTCTCCTGCCTCCTCTAATACCCCTGCTGGTGATTGGGGAATCAGCAGCTGCTGTGTACTCTCTCCACTCCACTCACCTGAAACACAGACTGAGAGTTAATTGCAGGTTGACTCACCTTGTTACGTCCCCGACATGAGATGTTAAAAGTGTGAAGGATGGGGAGAATATAAGAACTGGTGGAGGAGTTTAAAATGGGTTTATTCGTACAAAAGGTATTAAAACACAAGCAAACAGATCTCTAAAAGGTTAACATCTCAACTAATCATCAACTATAAAACACCTGGTTAAAACTTAAATTAAAAGTTTTACCGCAACGAAGGTGTTTTAAAATCCTGAAGTTGATAAAAGGCTACAAACATTGTACTGACTAAAAACACCTGGTAAAAACTTATTTTAAAAGCTTTACCACAACGGAAGGTGTTTAAAACCGAGGTCAGTAAAATAGCCACAGACAAAGTTAACCTTAAAAACAACCTGCACACGAAAGATCCTTATGGATCATCCAAGAGTTTAAACTTTTAAGTAAAACTCATCCAAACAAACAAAGGAACGAACGAAAAGGGGTTAAACCAAACGAAACGTGGAGGACAGCAGAACCCCTGCACTGCTGCCTCCCAGACTGCTGAAGGCACAGCCCTTTTATGCAGGTGTGTGCTTCATCAGGTAGATTCAGTTCAGCTGTGCTCCTCAGCAGCCTGGGAGAGAGGAGGAGAAGGGGCGATGTCAGGCTGATTCACTGGAGCTTGGTGATCTTGGCTCCTGCTCCTCACTCAAGGCTGGCAGCCGTGACACCCCCACACATAAAAGAAAGAAAAAGAATAAAAGTTAGTAAAACAAACGCATCAAACCTAACTTTTAGAACTTTTTCTTAAAAAAAAAAAAATCTGGAGGATGAGAGGGACGAAGTCTCTCGAAGGACGAAGGGGACGAAGTCGACGAAGTCTCTCAGAGGACGAAGGGGACAAAGTCTCTCAGAGGACGAAGGGGACAAAGTCTCTCAGAGGACGAAGGGGACAAAGTCTCTCAGAGGACGAAGGGGACAAAGTCTCTCAGAGGACGAAGGGGACAAAGTCTCTCAGAGGACGAAGGGGACAAAGTCTCTCAGAGGACGAAGGGGACAAAGTCTCTCAGAGGACGAAGGGGACAAAGTCTCTCAGAGGACGAAGGGGACAAAGTCTCTCAGAGGACGAAGGGGACAAAGTCTCTCAGAGGACGAAGGGGACAAAGTCTCTCAGAGGACGAAGGGGACAAAGTCTCTCAGAGGACGAAGGGGACGAAGAGACTGGAGGGACGAAGAGACTGGAGGATTAAAAGCAAGCAACGCCAGATAAAAATGAAACAGGCTGTTTAAAAATCCCTACTCTTCATGCACTTCGCAGGTGGGCAGATTAAGCACATGTGCTGTTGCACATTCTGACCAGCAAAGGGAGGGGGTTAGCCACTCTCCTTCCTGGGGTGCTCCCGAGATGGTGGAGTAAACCACCAACACTAACCTGCTAGGTGCAACACCTGAGCCTGCCTGTGGGGGTCATCTCTGGGTCCTTTTATGCTTGACTGGATCCTCCTGCAGGGGCGGGGCCTCCAGATGCACCCGCCAGTGATCCACGACTTCATCTGCTTAAAACCTTTAAAACAAATAAAACACCATTAAAATTACCACCACCAGGGGATTAGTACATTCCTTCACGGCCTGTTTTTATTAAAGATCCCGGACGAGCCCCCATTTATGTTACGTCCCCGACATGAGATGTTAAAAGTGTGAAGGATGGGGAGAACATAAGAACTGGTGGAGGCGTTTAAAATGGGTTTATTCGTACAAAAGGTATTAAAACACAAGCAAACAGATCTCTAAAAGGTTAACATCTCAACTAATCATCAACTATAAAACACCTGGTTAAAACTTAAATTAAAAGTTTTACCGCAACGAAGGTGTTTTAAAATCCTGAAGTTGATAAAAGGCTACAAACATTGTACTGACTAAAAACACCTGGTAAAAACTTATTTTAAAAGCTTTACCACAACGGAAGGTGTTTAAAACCGAGGTCAGTAAAATAGCCACAGACAAAGTTAACCTTAAAAACAACCTGCACACGAAAGATCCTTATGGATCATCCAAGAGTTTAAACTTTTAAGTAAAACTCATCCAAACAAACAAAGGAACGAACGAAAAGGGGTTAAACCAAACGAAACGTGGAGGACAGCAGAACCCCTGCACTGCTGCCTCCCAGACTGCTGAAGGCACAGCCCTTTTATGCAGGTGTGTGCTTCATCAGGTAGATTCAGTTCAGCTGTGCTCCTCAGCAGCCTGGGAGAGAGGAGGAGAAGGGGCGATGTCAGGCTGATTCACTGGAGCTTGGTGATCTTGGCTCCTGCTCCTCACTCAAGGCTGGCAGCCGTGACACACCTCAAACCATGACACTTGATGCTTATGGAGACTTCGGCTCTGAAAGTGAAGGAGCAGCAGGTCTGTGTGAGAAGCTGCAGACACATCTAAAATCTCCAACAGCAGCAGTTAGAAGTAAATCATTAAAAACCCATGAAGAAAAGTTCATGTATGTTTGATCTTTTGTTAATATTTTGTTACAGGAACTCCAGGAGACTGGAAAAACCACTTCAGTTCAGAACAACTTGTCCGATTCACATCAGTCATTCACAAGGAGCTAGAGGGAGAGGACTTCTCTCTGCCGTGGAGTCTGGAATGAACAAGAAATAACAACATCTGGAAATAAAATCAAGACCTCTACTTTATAATCTTTTTGAATAAGGAAACTGATGTCAATTTAAAAACACTGTTAGAATAGCAACTAGATCAGAATCACCTGAATTTTCTAAAACTAAAAACTGTCACGATTTATGAAGTAAATTTCTCAATTGTGTGTCTTCATTTATACTAAATATTAACCTACAAAGAACAAATCATGAAAATTTCATGAAGATCAGAGCAACCCCGACTAAATGGAAAAATAAAAATAAATTTGGTTTATTGAATAGAAGATCTTTCTTTTCAAACACTTTATTTAACAATTTATATTTATTTATTAACATATCTTTATAAGGAGGATTAACCCCTTGAGATGAAACATCTCATTTTCAAGGGGGTCCTCCATTATTTCAGATCATATACATATATATACATATATATACATATATATGTATATATATATATATATATGTATATATATATATGTATATATATATATGTATATATATATATATATATATATATATATATGTATATAGTCAATGATTACAACACACACTCACAATGCTCAAACCCACCCCCCCAAGCAAAACCCCCCACTACAGACATGAAGTAAAGACAACCACAGGTCTGAACTAATAAACAAACATGACTGAAAAACAAAAATAAAATATATGCATGACCAGTGAGAGCAAAAGTCAAGTAAACTTAATTAGTAACATAGACAAATGTTCTGAACATAATCACTCAGGGCTCTGCGGAACATTTTAAATGAAGATATGGACCGAAGAGATAAGGGAAGACTATTCTAATCATATGGGGCCTTAAAACTAAAAGCACATTTCCCTACCTCTCTTTTTACTCCAGGAACAACAAAAATATCTGATCATGTTGTCTCAGACCGTGAAGTGATTTGTACCATACCAAATGTAACTTAAGATAATCAGGGTAGTTAAAATAAAAGGTTTTGAAAATAAACTGTATCCAGTGACACTGTCTCCTGGCCGAAGGTGTAAGCCAGGATACATCACAGGTCCATACATCGCACAGCGAGTTGTCCTAAAGGGACAAAGAAGCAGAAAATGGCAAAGACTGTTATATGCAACATCTAAAGAGTGCAGACAAGAAGAAGTGGTATTTTGATGAATAATGTCATCAGTAGGCAGAAGCAGCTGTGTGACTATTCTTTTTCTGATCAGAAAGTTAAAACAGTTATTGTATTTTAGCTGAGAATCAAGTTTATGTGTAGTAGCATGAACATGGGTTTTAAAAGTTTGATCATAATCCAGCCAAACACCTAGGTATTTAACCCTCTGGAGGCAGGCGTTGCAGATTTGCAACATTAAAACCAACCTACCTGGTTACTCCACATATGTATTTCATGAGCATTTTTTAACTCAGAAGTACCCCTGAAGGACATAGTTGTTCGTCCTTTTATCAAAACTTATTTTGAGCCTGAGAGGCTTAAAGGTCTCAATCGATTCAATAGGTGAAGAGTCGTGAAAATCAAGATTAAGGTGTTTTTCACCTGAATCGATAACCTTCCTATGAAACAGTAAGGAATAAGATTTTGTTTTATTGGTAACACTTTACAATAAGGTACGCAAAATTGTGCTTCGTTACTAGGGAACGACTTAGGAGGTAATGAGTAATTAAGCAGGGAAGAATAGGTAGTTAACCAGTAGTTACTGGTGAAAACACTCATCAGTCTTTTTTCAGGGACTAATAGGTAGTTAACCAGTACTTACTGGTAAACACCCAGTAGTTTTATTCATGGACTAATAGATAGTTAATCAGTACTTACTGGTAAAAACCCCAGCAGTCTTATTCAGACCGTAATAGGTAGTTATCTATTTGTGCTTCGTTACTAGGGAACGACTTAGGGGGTAATGAGTCATGAAGCATGGAAGAATAGGTAGTTAACTAGTAGTTACTGGTGAAAATGCTCATCAGTCTTATTCAGGGATTAGTGGGCAGTTAGCCAGTACTTACTGGTAACCACCCAGCCGTCTTATTCAGGGACTAGTTATTTATGAAAGCAATAAGAAATGAATCCCAGATTAATGTAGTGCCTGTAGACACTCTTTTGTAAACCTCATGAAGGATGCAGATAATTTGTAATGTCAATCACTGTTTCATCTTGAGTCCACTCGTCTGTCACTTCGTCGTCCATCGTCGGCATCCGTCCGTCTCGAGACAATGGAAAGTGAAGCCTCCTCCCAAGTACCTACTGAGGAATGAATCAGCACCTAGTAGGTACTTAAGTATTACCTACTGCTTTTGTGTACCCTAAAGTAAAGTGAAGCCTCCTCCCAAGTACCTACTGAGGAACGAATCAGTACCTGCTATGTACATAAGCATTACCTACTGCTTTTGTGTACCCTAAAGTAAAGTGAAGCCTCCTCCCAAGTACCTACTGAGGAACGAATCAGTACCTGCTATGTACATAAGCATTACCTACTGCTTTTGTGTACCCTAAAGTAAAGTGAAGCCTCCTCCCAAGTACCTACTGAGGAACGAATCAGTACCTGCTATGTACATAAGCATTACCTACTGCTTTTGTGTACCCTAAAGTAAAGTGAAGCCTCCTCCCAAGTACCTACTGAGGAATGAATCAGTACCTAGTAGGTACTTAAGTATTACCTACTGCTTTTGTGTACCCTAAAGTAAAGTGAAGCCTCCTCCCAAGTACCTACTGAGGAACGAATCAGTACCTGCTATGTACATAAGCATTACCTACTGCTTTTGTGTACCCTAAAGTAAAGTGAAGCCTCCTCCCAAGTACATACTGAGGAATGAATCAGTACCTAGTAGGTACTTAAGTATTACCTACTGCTTTTGTGTACCCTAAAGTAAAGTGAAGCCTCCTCCCAAGTACCTACTGAGCAATGAATCTGTACCTACTAGGTACTTAACCATTACTTACTATGTTGTTATATGAACATTTGCCATGAGTAGATTGAGCTTATCCACACAGCATTTTCTTTCATCTTGTGCGTGGTAATATTCCAGAGATGGATGACCAAAATCATGCAGGTTACAAAGTTACCTGGCTCAAATCAATCACTAACAAAATGTTCAATGTTTAGGGTACTTTTTTTAAAATAATGAGAACGGTACACAACAAACTTTTCAAAGATTTACTTTCACCTTTATAATCTATGAAATCAACATGTAAAAACACTAAAACAATATAAAAAAAATTAAACAGAACAGGTCCAAGGTAATCCACATTAGAGATGAAAAAAAAGCCCAACCATTTTTTTGGTTAAAAAAACTTTGGGAACATATTAAGAAGTACTCCAGCATCCTTAATTTTAATGACATCCTTCTCAAGACTGGCAGACTGAATTGTTGCCTTGCATCTTTTAGCAAAGGAAGCTAAACTTTCCTTTGGGCTGTAGGTGTTCCTGAGTTCTTTGTACCTCTCCGGACTTACTGCTGCAAGTTCAGCTATTGCAGCTGTGTCTGCAATAGTTTTCCGGTCTACGCCAATTTTCCTGAAGGCTGCAACCATTGGGAGACTCCCATCCTGTGTCGCCATAAGCACCTTCTTGTACCTGTTGATGGCTTCCTCTGGTGTTATGACTGCAATGACAACAAATAAAAAAAAGAAGTTAAATATCCTTTTTAAGACGAATGACTGCACCACTAGCTTTAAAATGTATTAAACAAAGGAACACTAAAATTTAAACATGTTAATGAAAATTATATTCTCTGTAGACATCACAAAAAATGCATTTTGTCTCTTTCTTCACATGTATAAATCCCGATTTTCTATTTGTTCTCATTTTAAACATATTTGAAAATCATTTTTCAAAATGTTTTTTATATTTTTAATTTTTGGTTCTGTGAAGCGCTTTGTGATTTTTATATTGAGGGGTGCTATAGAAAAGATAGTTATCTTTCTTTTCTTTTCACTACAGAGCTCAGCAGTGTCTTTTTGTTAAGAAACTCGGGTCCTGCTGCATTTATTTGCAGCTTGCATAGGAACCATGACCAAATTTTAAATATTAAAATAAAAACAGTATTTAGCCCAGACCAGGTAAAGTGAAGCAACGAACCTTACTGGTGTGAATACAACCTAAATATGCCATCATTTCTTGTATAAAAATATCAGGATTAAAATATACAACATACAACATGGACTAGTAATAGTGAAAAAGAGTTATAAAAACACTGTAGAAACAAGAAGGATAACAGGGTATATACAGCAATCCTTAAGTAAAATTTACTACTTTTTAATACTTTTTTTTACTACCTTCAGAATTTTTTTAAAACCATCACAACACTTAATTGCAAGTGTTAATCAGCGACCTATTTACACATATTTTAACATATATAACATACAAAAAGAATAGACTTAGAGACTCACTGATGTTGACAACGTATTGCACATATTTATTTTACTTAGAAAATAAGCCAGGCACTTCTGTTCAGCGGTCCAGACAGTTGACCACGAGGCCTGAAATGATGCAGAACGACCACTGAATATGACGTCATCATTATGTGACCGGATATGCTAAAGTAGGGCTGCTCGATTATGGCAAAAACAATAATCACGATTATTGTGACTGAAATTGAGATCTCGATTTTTTAAGACGATTTTTCAATTCATGTAGATTTTTGTTTTTGTTTTTATTCAGTCATAAAACTGCTCAGGGCACAATCAGGGCAAAAATAAACAAGAAGCAAGATGATCACTAAAATAACTCCCGATTCCCAGTATAAAAAGACCAATGTACTTGTGGAAAGGTGGATAAATGAGAGCCCAGGCAGGATTCGATCCCCAGACTCCCAGGTGAGAGTCATACTCTCTAACCAGTCAGCCAAAGAGACATCCCCTTGGCCAAGTAGCCAGGACGCATAATCTATCGGGACACTGTGACAGGACACTCACACTGCCACATACTTATAGCTCATAGTTTATGATCCAAGGGCTATAGACCTTGGTTTAACTCATTTAAGTCTAACCAGTACAGACCCAAATACCAATATCTTGCAAATACTGACAACAAGAATTATACAGTGGCATTTATAACAAATACATGCAAATTGATGTTCACAAAATTTTGCATAACATTTATTGAGTCCTGTCAAGGTGCTCTAGGAGCGTGCACTAGCACCGTGTCCTCAGAGAGATTAGTTATTAGTTATCAGCGTGAGGAACTCATTTCTACCTTATTTATAAACTATTTATTTACAAGTCGTCCATCAGTTAATGTAATAATTGTCACAACCACAGCTGCACCCCCCACCCCCCAACCCGGTCTCACAGCTATCAGGGGCAAG